CTCGATTGCGTGAGGCTCTTGCTGCAGTACAAAAGCCCTTTGGAGGTGCAAAATGAAAATGGCCACACTCCTCTTATGGAGGCTGCAAGTAACGGACACATTGAAGTTGCTCGGTGTCTCATTGAACATGGCGCCTACATTAACACCTATTCAACCGAATTTAAGGAGTCTGCGCTAACCCTCGCAAGTTACAAGGTACTTTTGTTCCTCTTCCTGGTTGCCCCCGTTGAAAATGTCAAAATCTAACACATATTCACACCTTTAGGGCCATGCGGACATGGTGAATTTCCTTCTTGAGAATGGGGCCGATCACGAACACCGAACTGATGAAATGCACACTCCCCTAATGGAAGCGGCCATGGAAGGACACGTAGAAGTTGCAAGGCTTCTCTTAGCTCATGGGGCTAACGTAAACATCCCTCAGGACAGCTTTGAGTCGCCATTGACCTTAGCAGCTTGTGGTGGCCACACGGAACTTGCTCATCTTTTACTCGGATACGAGGCGGACATCGAAGAAGTAAACGACGAGGGATACACTCCTCTCATGGAGGCAGCCAGAGAGGGTCATGAAGAGACCGTTGCCCTGCTTCTCGCTGCTGGTAAGTCCGCCTTAAGCATTGTCACTGTTATTGTCAGCAACCAATTCCAATGAACCTTCTATACAGTTCAGCATTCTAATCGTAGTTTTAATGCACTTCATTCTATGAAAAACTTATGGCCAGCCTTTCCATTGTGCCGATTTATGAATGCTTTTTGTTGCAATAATTCATTTGTAGGTGCGGATGTGAATGCAAAAACCGACGAAACTCAGGAAACTGCCCTGACCTTAGCCGCATGTGGCGGTTTTATTGAGGTCTGTGATATGCTCCTCAATTCGAACGCTGACATTGAGGTCGGTAGTGCTGGCTGCTCAACACCTCTCATGGAGGCCGCCCAAGAAGGTCATCTGGAACTTGTTCGCCGTCTCCTACAACGCGGAGCAAACGTGAACGCCATGACTGCAACTGGAGACACGGCTCTTCATTACGCTGCCGAGAATGGCCATGTCAAAGTGTGCAAGGAGTTGCTGAATT